GTGCAATTTGTCTAGGTAAGAAAATATATTCGTCACGATATTAAAATATTGTATTCTTATTTATATTACAACCAATTGAGCCATTTACAGACAGTCTTGTATTATTTTTATACCACATAATCAGTGAAAATTACATATCGTCGTAAAAGAATCATATAAAAATCAAAGCATTATTTTTTCTATTGTTTTCTGTCATGTCTCGTCGACCTTGGCAAGAGATTTCAAAAGGTATTAATAAAGATTATCTTTCAACATTAATTAAGCAACATAATGTTTGTACATATCGTACTGAACCATACAAGAATTATCTATCAATAACATACAAATGTTCAGAATATAAAAAATTGCCCGCGTGTTCATATCAGTTAAAAGCCAAACAACATGTAGATGGAACATACCAATTATATTCCTCATGATGTCATAATCATCAACAATGCGCTGATAGTAATCGTTTATTATCACTTTATACTATTATTATGTATTCGTGACAATATTCGTCAAATGACAGATAATGAATTAACAGCTGTACAAATTATAAAGGTAATGAAAGTATTACATCCAGATCTTTCATTGANAAAAATCAAAAGTGCTGTTGAATATAAACAACAACAAAATCGTTGTCGTATAAAATTCATTGAAGAATTATATTCGTGGTGTTCTCAACGTAATACATATCCATCAGTTGATAAAATACATGACGTTGTCGTACCATATTTTGAAGCTGTGGATGTGAATAATACATTTATTTGTTTAACTACACGTCAATTACTTTCAACATGTAAATATTCCTCTGTATTATATATTGATTGTACATATAAAGTCACAGCTAACGAGTTATCAGTATTAGTCTTTGGTACATCAGATTTCGATGGTCGATTTTATCCTGTGGGTGTATGCTTAATATCTTCAGATGAATCATCAGAAACATTCAAAATTTTTTCTCGTGGTATTCAAGTTTAGGCATCGACTATCAATAATCAAGGATATACCATATCACATGTTATGGGGGATGGTGCAGCAGGTATTACAGGTGCCATGTGTGAATTACCATTAGCACGTCGTTTAATGTGCTGGGCACATGTTATCCGTAAAGTTCGTGGACATGGAACATTAATTAGAAATAAAGACAAATTTTTATTAGTTGAACAAGATATTATGCAATTACAACTATCATTTAGTGATCAAATATTTATCACAGCAGCCAATCTTATGATTAATAAATGGAAATTAGATAAAGATATAGAAAAACTCACGGACTATTTTGAACAACAATGATTGACAATATTACGTTTTTGGTATGAAGGTGCTTGTATTTTAACGCCATCAACAAATATAATGGTTTGGAAAGCTTAAATGGTCTACGATAAGATTAATTGTATTAATTCAACAATCATAGTTTTAAAATTTTTATTTAAAACAGAAGCTTTCAATTACAACTGTAATCATCGTCGGCTACATTTAGATGAAAAACACACAGCGTATATATCAAGGGGGAAATAGCGGACTCCTGGACTCCTTGACTCCCATGGACTCCTATGAACTCCTATGGACTCCTGGACTCCCATGGACTCCTGAAGTCTAGGAGTCCAAGAGCAAAGTGTTCTTTTTTGGGGATCACTTCCCAAAAAAGAACAAAAGTG